CCTTTCTCGTGACTTAAATTTGCCAACCCATCTTGCCACCCCTCCCGGCCACCGAAATCTGCCATCTACATTTGCCACCCCTTCCTGGCGCCCCATCCTGCCACTCCTCCCCGCCACTCAAATTTGCCGCCCGATTCTGTCGCCCCTTCCTGCCGCCCCATCAGGCCACCTCATGTTGCCAACCAATTCCGCCGCCCCATCCTGCCACCCCATCCCGCCGTCGTTTTTAATGAAAAATGTCCGCAATGAAGACCCCCAATGTTAACCTTACCACGCAGCATCCAAAATATAAACATGAAATGAACATAAATATAAACCTACAAAAAGCCTTATAGATCTTTAAAATTGTAATCTTAAAAGTCGCAAAATATTTCAAAACATCTCACAAGCCGGGGTTTCGCGGGAAAGGGTTTCGGAATTACAAAAAAGTTTCCCAGGATCAAAATTTTAAAAAGTCTTACAAGTGCAAAAAACATGCAAAAATATGACAAAATCTTGAAAAATAGAAATACAAAGAAATTTATGCAAAACATGTGAAAACACTCTCGTGGTGAGCGGAATGGTCAGCTGTTGTCAGCTGCTGTCAGTTGCTGTCACACATGACAATTGCGTGGCAAGTGTGTTCAAAAAAGAAAGATTTTGTTGTTGTCACACATGATCAATTGTGTGGGCTAGTGTGTCAATGGGTTGCTGAAAAAAGAAAAACATAGTTTAAAAGCTTAAAGATCAAAAAATATGTAAAAATATTTTTCTGTTTTCTGTTTTTGATTTTAAACTGTGTTTTTCGATGCTTGCGTGCGAAAAGCATAGGAAACCAAACCCGGGCTGATCCAATCCACCACTTAGTCTCAGTGAGCTCTGGCAACACCGTCGAGCACCCTTGAGTGGCTTTCTAGGCGGCGCGGGCCTTCCCCGGACGAAACCATTTTGTGAATTCATCGCCCTGCAGATCATCCAGTGGGGCGACGTGAGCTGCCACTGCGCGCAAACTGGCGGTTCTTGTGAGCCGGTCTCGAGCTTGCCTCAATCGCAGTTGTCTCGACAGGAGTTATGTGGTTCCCTCGCGAGAATTTAGCGCCCCAAAACAGATCTACTGTGGTAGTTGACGTCTCTCAAATTTCTGTTGCGCTCTCACTTTTTTTGCAGCCTTGTGGCCCTAGCCGTGTGGTACATTTGAAGACATTGGGTGTTCTACGCACATGGTTACTGTTTCATGGAAGTGGCAATTTCTTGGACCGTGACCACATATACGCCGTGTTGAGATTATTATACAGTACAATTGTCTCTGGACGAATTCGCGCATCATGTCGAGTCATTCGCCGCTGGGAGCATGTCCCAAATCACATCCTTGGTAACCTCCTTGGCTCATTTGAGCTGGCAAGTACCGTTCTTTGAACGAATGGTCACGGCTGAACAGCACGCCACCGTGATGTTTTCGTGGCAACAAGCCGCCCAGGCTGGCCTGTCGATATTTCCGACGAACCTGGTGCGAAACGCATGCGCTCCAATCTGGCACTTCAGGGCGCCACGCGTGCCCAGACCAATATTGACCAGGTACTAGAGCGCGCAACAGCTCAGATTGGATCGGCTGTCTCTGTACAGGCCGGCTCTATTGCGCAGCAACATGTCCTGGAGGATGGGGCTATAGTGTTCCTGCCGCCGCCCAGGTGATTTCTCCTACGAGGTTTGTACCTACTGGGGAACACACGGCCGTGGTGATTCCCCAAATAAACAAAGCCTGTGGCCATTAAGGAGCTTTTACTTTGCGCAGCGTCTCCCCCGTCACTGTGGGACGTCGAACCGCTTGCGCGCTTCTGCAGCAATTTGCTGAGTCGGTTGGTTCTTCAGATGCTGTTTTATCTGTGAATTCTGATCCGTTGGCTGCCTCTATGATGAATAGGTTCACATCAAAGCGAGTTTGGAAACTGTGTTGGAATGTGGAATGGTCATGGAGTTGGGACAGTATTACGTGGCTGATGCATGGTTCTACACGCCCTCTTCAGGGTTGTCACAAATCAGCACGCCACTTCTGGTGCATTTTTCCACAGTGGATTCAACGAATATTTGTGGGCAATTGCCAAGCATAAGCGCTTGTCCACGGCGCATATATTTTGCCGAAACCTTCTTGCGATTTTCAGAAAGCACGCCTTATTGTTAATTGCAATCATAATAGTTGAGCACGGCCTTTGGGAAATGCTCCGGCCATTGTTCCCCTGGAGATGGCAAAAATAGTTTTGCCTTTCTCGTTGGATTCAGCCGGCGCTCGGACTATTCTATGTGACATTCAACAGATTATTGCTTCGTGGACCTGCGCTGAAACTGATCGATAAAGGGTGGCTGGTACAATCAGGCTGAACACACACGCATCATTGCAAGCGTTCGGTTTCTTTGGGACGCGTATTTACATCTCGCGGGCAGGAATCCCTTGTCTGTACTTCAGGCACTGAGGGTGTTTCGTGGCCGGTGGCGTGCGCAGCAGAGCAAACAATATCGCGCTATATCGCGCTGTGGTTTTGCAAGATCTTCCTGCGCTAGTTCAGGCGCTTCTTGGTTTCAGTGTCTTTCGCGTTGGCCACGCCACCTATCGCCAAACCCAGGGAGCTAGCGTGGGTAGTCAATGGGCCCCGGTTCTATGTTCCATTGTGGCGCTACACCGAGAACATACATATCGTCAGTCGCTGACTTACCCGTTGACTGCCCTTTTCCTTGTTTTGGAATTTGGAACTCTATGCGCGTTCTATTGAACTGGAAACTGTTGAGGGTCATGATGCCCTCGGTTTCCACATTGATCCTCTCCAACAAAGCATCACGATACTGCAACCTTGGGACAAACGTGTTTGTCGTTCCACTCGTGGGGTTGGCCCGGACTGCCTGCGCGTATACGACTGATATGTACATATGTATATCCTTGGGAGCTTCAGATTGGGCAAATTCAGATGGACACATGCAGGTTGATGGCCTTTTTCGTTACGCGGCAAAATACGTTTTCCGTTTGGTTTTTTCCCCTTTTGAACTTTGATTGAGAATTTACCTTTTGCAGCTTTGAGTGTCAGTTTGTGAGTTTGTGATGCATGCCAACGTGACTTCTTTGCCTCCAGCCAAGTTTGTCGGTCACATGTTTATTCTTGGAGGCTCAAGTTTTGTGTACGCGCCTTTCCTCAATTCGGGTAGCCTGCGTTCTAGTGATGGAACGCACTCACAATGCGATTGCAGTGATGGTCCAAGTAGAGATGGCCCATGTTTTGATGCACATTTTGTCTGAATGCTCAGACTTCTTGATGGAACTGCAGATTCTCTCTTTGACAACTGATGGCTGGCCTGAGACCAACCTGAAATTATTTGCCGCGTGTCATAGCACCTCACCGCTATGACTAGACAACTAAATGTCCGGCGCGATCGATGGGCTCGCTCTGAACCTTTTGATCCTTCGTTGCCTGTGCGTATGGCTGCGATACTGAAGGACATGACCCAGTCCCTGCAGAACATTCAGGACAAATTTTGTGTACTCAAACATTTGCGAGATGATTTGGCTATGTATCCGATGACAGAACTCCACCCAGTTCCCTGGAAGCCGAGTTGCCTCCGCGTCCCTACCCTTTTGGAACTGGACCTTCCCGTATTCTTCTTGAGTCGAGATCCGTCCTTTATCGGCGGTCAGAAAACCAGCTCTCATTTCTCTGTTTTCACGTTGACTTTTGTGTTCCCGCCTGCGCGATTGTATCAACAAATAGTAACTCTACACTTCTATTTTTCCATTTGGCCGTTTAGCTGCTCAGTTTTGTCAGAATGCCAGGACCCTAGAACATGTCTGACGCAATAAGGATCAGGTGTTTTCACATCTGGATTTGCTGTGCCAGCACGTGGCTGATCAATTTCAGATAATTTCAGGTTGTCAGAACCTTAGACTTATCACGTGACTCTACGACCAACCCGGAATGCACGTATACCAACCCGTTGCCAGGGTGTCCGCTCCCTATCGGTGTGAATATTTGTCAAGATGTCCGCTCATCATCCTTCAGTTACCTTGTCAGAATGTCTGCTCCGTAAACTTGTCAGGGTGTGCGCTCCTTATTTTGCTAGTGGCAAAATCGCTGGAGCGTTTGCCAGATGTTGAACAGCAGGGGCAGCAGGGGAGCGGTGGGCATTCTTGGAGTCACCGCTCAACGAAGACACTTCAAGTTTGCTGTGATATGCAATATTGACGCGGATAGCATATACCTGCGAGAACGATCCTTTGAACTGTTTTCACGCTGCCACTCTATTTTATGTGTATCAGGTTCAAGACGTACTTGTAAAGACGGTGTCGCGCGCGCACGTTTACCAAAAAAAGATGCTGAGCATTGACATCGTTTGACCGTTCCTCTTCCCAGTGTGTGGTTGTGTGTTTGCGGTTGCGATCTGGCACTTGCCATTGCATTTGAGGTCCGGTAGCGCCCACTGCAATCTGGCACTTGTGGTTGAGGTCCAGCAGTGCCCACTGCGATCGGGAGCTGCGCA